TAACGGTAATTACATTGAACCTTATGGGAAAATTTGCTTCAGGTTGCGACCAATTCGGGGTACGACCAGAGTCATGGAACGAATTAAGTTCCTAAACCGAGGTTCCACTGTACTACAATGTTATCATACAGATCTGTGATATGCCCATCTTTAGAGTTTGGTTAACAAATGCTAGCTCCATCTCAAAAAGGATATTTTACAGCTGATTAAGACACAAAAAAAGTGATCAGTAAGGAACAGGAGAAAAAAAAGCAGAAGAGTGGATGAAGAAATTATACTGGGATTTTAGGTCATCAGTAGGTTTAGGAAAAACAACAGGGAACATTTCAGCAACAGCTCATATTTAACTTAAGTAAATAACTGCATGATGATAGAATGGCAGTTATCAGCTTAGATTATTTTAAACAAAGGTTAAACAACTTGATAGAGGGTTAGATATGTCAAAAGCTATTAGCAGTAAAAATCTAAGAATGGAGCCTCATGTTGAAGGGCCTGGGATTACCAGAAATGTGGCTTAATCTTCAGGGAATGGTTATTATCCTCATAGCTTTTAAGCACTGTCTGGCCACACTATATTATGTTGAATATAATCTTTCTTAAAGTAGTCCTCACTCAGTCTACAATGACACAGAGGAAGAGAGTTCCCCCCCCAAAGATTTATCTGTGAAAACATGCTACATATTTTTATTTGGATGGTTTGTGCATGCTGTCATGAATGCAAATATTTAGCTGTAAAAAAACCGTTTTCAGCTGTAAAAAACCTCAACTGCCAGCATGTCATATACACCTACTTACAGGAAAAAAAATACCTACCAGAATACTCCAAAACAATACCAAAATTTATTTACATTTTTGTTTAGTTTAAAATAAAAAAAATATATCCAGGATCAGCCTGAATTTATGCATCCAAATAAACAATGGCATTCCTTCTTACGTGGATGCTTACAAATAGTGTTCATTTGTTGCTTTAGGATAAAAATAAAAGGAAAAAATCCCAGCTTGACAATTCAATTGTCAATAAACATTTTCCACGAGGGGGGGGGTTCTTTTAGCACATTAACAATTCCAGTGCGTACATTTGCCACACAGGGTCCCAGAACCACTTGCTCAAAATGACTCCAAGTCCCTTCATGTCCTGAAAATTCTGGTTTATCTTTTCAATTTGCTTAGTCCTAATCACAGTTTGAATTCCTGATCCAAAGCAGTGCTGTTTATGCTATATAAATTTTACATTCTGCATTTTTACAGGATTATGTGAAGTGCAGAGCACACAGAATCTATACATAGGACACAGAATTAAAAGTTTAGAACTTTGCTATTCTAGCTTATACAGTCAGGACCAGAAATACTGGAACAAGGATAACTGTTTTGGCATTTGGCCTCTGTACACCACCACATTGATGTTGAAAGGAAACACACCCAGATGGGAGCGAAGTCAGGACTTTCAGCTGTCATTCAAGGGGTTTGCCAAAAGTGGGGCACTAACCATTCAGGAAGTACAACCAGTGGCATACACACACACACACTGTTGGTGGCGCATAAGTAATGGAACAAACCAACATCATTACAAACATAAGGATCGCCTTTAATACCTGAATGAAAATCCTTT